TTCTCTCGAAACCTGAGATGAAAGTGGAGACCCCGTAAGCCAAGCCTGTCGAAGGTAGCACAATGTGTGTATTGCACATCTTAGGGCATTAAGGCTCGCCTAACAAAAGACACCATATCCATCAGCACAGGAACCCACAGCACGGCCGGGTGGCAGCTCGAAGCTGCAGGCAGGGGTGGAATCAGAGATGGCCCTGGCCCCCGGAAGCCCCCCAAAAAAGCCCTAAAGGCTCCCCCCAGCACCTACCGCAAGCAACTCCAGGGTCCTTTAAAGCCCTCACCTCATCTAGACTCAGAAGCTCACCCCAAAAACCACCCAAAGCCCTAAACCGAGAAGCTGCCCTCCGACCCCCAACTGGCCAGGCCTTGGCATCGGCTGGCAAGAGCCAGGCGGTCTTGGATTTCTTGGCCACCACGGACAACGCTGCTTGCCAAGACTCTACGGGTTGTTTTCAGGGGTTTAGGGGTTTAGGGTTTAGGGTTTGGGCCCCAAAACAAACCCCTGAACTCACCTTTGGTTGGTGCTCCAACGTCTGAGGTCAGCATTCGCCAGGTCAATGCCTGCATGACTGCCTTCGGCAAAGCCGCGCGCTGGCAGGTCGCTCCGTCTCCAAGAGGATACTATGGTTTTGGGATCTCTGCGGATCTCTATTGGCTATTTCGGGTATGTTTGGTACAGCATAGAAGATTACACAAGGTATCCTACTATGGCGCATGATCGTGGTTGATGTATATAGTATAGCCTTGGCAGAGAGTGTGTAGTGTAGCGTACATGGCGCACGTTTGCATCGATCTTGAAATTCATCCCATGGTCCATGTGCCCACTCCTGCACTTGAAGGCAACGGCGTGTCGTCCATGGCTTGCACTTTGCATGGGCACTCTTGCCTCCGAAAGTCCGAAACCCAAACCCGATGGAAGTCTACGCGCCCAACTCTGTATGCCCGAGCCCCTTGAAGGCTTAAGCCTCTTTAAGCCGTGAATCTCGCAAATTTCGGCAAACACGGGTCCCCCATTTAAACATCCAGCAAGCGTCCTTCGGCAGCAAAACAAACAACAGATTTGGGCTTTGGGGCCCTGATCTGTGGAATGCACTGCTTTGGCTTAAGCCTTTATTAAGTCTTTGGTCTTGGACTAAGTGTATCTAATGCTGGTCAGCTCTAGAAGTAATTGTGATGACCAGCCAAGAAGTCCCCCTAAACCCTAAACCCTAAACCCTAAAATCCCCCCCCTCTTGGCCTCTAAGCATCCCTAGGCTTGCCTGGATCTCTTCTCTGCACTGCCGCGGCTGAAAGCCATCCCCGACGTGGTCACGTACAGCACGGGCATGACCGCCTGCCAGAAGGACCTTGGGTATATTGGGTTTCAGGGCCCCCCCCCCCCGTGGGCTTTTTTTAAAGGATTTCTTGGGGGCTTAAAGTTCAGGGTTCAGGTGGGTTTGGGTTCTGGGCCTCAAAACTATAAGCTTGAGGGCTTTTGGGTTTTAGCGGGTTTCGCTTTCGCAAGATTCCATGGAAAAGGGTCTGCTCTTGTTTCCGGGCAGGCCGGATTCTGGCAAATGCCCCTGGAGCTGTTCAAGAGGGCTGAGGAGACCCTCAGTGCGGATGTCATCCTTTTCAGCACCGCGCTCGGCGCATGCGAAGTCGGAGCGCAGTGGCAGTCTACGCTGCAGCTCTTGAGTACCATGCGTCTGGCACGCGTCACCCCAAATGGCATCAGCTACAAGGCCGCTATCGGCGCCTGTGGGCGTGCGGAATGTTGGCAGCTGGCAGCGCAGCTGTTCGGTGAGATGCCTGGGGCAGGCATCAGCCCAAATGTAATACTTTACAATACAACGATCACTGCTGCTGAGAAGGCCGGCATGTGGCAACTCGCGTTCGCACTTTTCAACGAAATCTCGATGGCCAAGATGCAGCCCAATATCATAAGCTACAGTGCCACAATCAGCGCTGTTGCAAAGCCTGGGCATTGGCAACTTGCCTTGCAACTCTTCGGTGACCTGAAATTCGCACAATTGACGCCGAACGTGTACAGCTATGGCTCCACCATAAGCGCTTGTGAGAAGGCCGCAGAGTGGCAAAGTGCATTGAACCTGCTGAGAGAGATGCCCGCGGAGGCTGTCACGCCCAATACTGTGACGTACAATACCGCCATCTCTGCCTGCGCAAGAGGTGACCACTGGCAGCATGGACTGCACTTGTTTGCCAACATGACACGGGCGCAGCTGCAACCAGACATCTATAGCTACAACGCCGCGATCAGTGCCTGCGAGAAGGCTGCGAGGTCCTCGATGGCGCTGAACCTGCTCAAGTCAATGTCGCGAGTGGGTATCACCCCCAGCGTCATCAGCTACAATGCAACGGTCAGTGCATGTCAGAAGGAGTCAGACTGGCAACAGGCGCTGGCCTTATTCTTCGGCTTCTTTCAAGCAACCATCACTCCTACGGTCGTCAGCTACGGCTCTGCCATCACTGCATGTGAGAGCAGCGCACAATGGCCTTCAGCGCTATATTTGCTCACAACCATGTCCGCTGCTGCGATCCAGCCAAACACCATAAGCTATAGCGCCACAATCAGTGCATGTGAGAAAGGAGAGGAATGGAAGCTCGCGGTCGATCTCTTCGACCAAATGAGTGGGTCCAGCATCGGTGTGGATCTGTGGAGCTACAATGTGGTGGCCAGCGCTTGGAGCAAGGGTGGTCACTGGCAGATGGTCTGCCAGCTGTTTGAATGGATTTCGAGAAGCAAGCTCTCGCCCGATGTCTACACGTACAATGCGGCCATCGGTGCCTGCATGAGAAGTGCGGAGTGGCAACTCGCACTTCACTTCTTTGCATGTATGCCCGCCGCAGGCATCAGCCTAAACGCAGCCAGCGTGAACGCAGTGCTGGACGCGGTTGGGGATCGGGATGCAGGTTTTAGGATCTTCGAGGAGACGCATCACCAGGTCTACCCCAAGCTGCTGGCAAAGGCGGTTGACATCCTTGATCTCCATGATTGCACCCCTAAAGCGGCCCAGCTAGCCATCCGATGGTGGCTGGCCCGGGTGGTGCAGCCCATTCTCCTTGAGTACGGGGATCGCAAGTTCATCATCGTCACGGGCTGGGGGTGGCTGAGACTGAGAGTTGGTGTGTGAATATGTGTGTGAACATGTACGCTCATGAGTTTTTTCCGAACTGTTTCGTGAACTGCTCTGTGTGAATTGTTCTCCCGCGCTCGCCGAGGAAGTCCAAGCCGGCTTGGAAAGGTGCCGGCAGCGATACGCAGGCCCACAAAACGCAGGGCTTCAAATTACGTAAATGCCCCACACATCCCATGCGGCAAACATGCACCGAACATATCCGCAAATTGCGTGATACTCACGTGCCACTGCATGACACTGTGGCCTTTTCGCATTGCAGGCTGCTGCACTTTCGCTGCTACGGTCGACGGGCTTGCATGCCAAGGTCTTGCCCTTACCTTCCCCGCGCACCTTCAGTTCGATTAGACGCGCAGTTGGCATCTTTGAATATCTTTGACCGCCCCGAGGTACAACATCACAACAGTGGTCGGCTTGAAGTGTTCCTGCGCAGGGAAGATGCAGCCACACTTCGCTCACTGTTTCACGGACGCAGGCGTTGCCATCAAAATGGCCCATGGGGACTGTGCTAATCTGAACGACGGCACATGACAATCCCCCAAAAACACATGTTCATAGTTTTTAAACAGGGAGCTCGAAACAAAAGGACTTCATTTTGAAGCAACTGCCTCAGAGCGTCTCTCGTCTCTGAGGCCAGACAAGGAGCTGGTCAGGCATGTGGCTCTTTTGCAAAGCTGGACTTGTGGGAGTTGTTTCAATGCAGGTTGCTTTGTAGGTACTTTCGGTGCTTTGTTGTATCATGGTGCTCCTGATCCCACCCCACGCTTGCGGTTGCACATGTGAGTAGATTGTGAGCAGATACCTTCCAGAAGCTCACAATCACACTCTGTTTCGGCCTTTTGCTTACAGGCTTACAAACCTCGAGTTACGATCTGCTTACGGCAGCACGTGCAAGCAGGACAGGGTAACTTTCTTTGGCACGCCAGGAGGCCGTGCTGGAGGCCGTGCAGAAGGACTCGCAAGTTTGGTGATTTCCTACTTATGGGGCATCCATGGGCGCCCTAAATGCTGATCATGCATTTTCAAGCTATTGGCATTCCTGGTGGTGTCTTGCGCACGGCGGGTTCGACTCCCCTGATTTGGCTGCACGAGCAGGACTTTGAAAGCAGGATGGAACGGTACAGAGATGAGGCCAGCAGCCACGATTGCCAGTCCAGGTGCCATGCAGAAAGAGCTCAGAATTACCATGCAGGTGCAGTATCTTCGCCAAAAGTGCGACGAGAAGGACTGCAAAACGAGGGTGGTTGAGCCTGAAACGTGGGAACGCGGTGTGCACGTGCAGAATTTCGTTGGGTCTTTCGGTTCAGCAAGGCCTACATTGTTGGGGTGGCACGTAATTAGGCATGTTCACAGGAGAAGCGCTGTGAGCAGCTCATGGCGGAGAAGGGTGCTCTTTCCGTGGCTTGGCAGCAAGTGGTGGCTGCGTCGGCGTTCCTTTCGCTCAGGTGATGCTGGTTCTGCATGCATAGTACGCTGCTTCGCTGTGACGTTGTGCATGACTTCAGTCGCCGTCGAAAAGTATCATAGCTATCAAATCATCACTTCGTGAACAGGGACATGAATATCTAAACGGCAGCTTATGCTGCAGAAGTCTTGTGTCTCAAGCTCTTCCGCGCCGATTCCACTCACTTCTGGCTCAGCTGGCAGTAGCAGAAACAGCTTGGGCCAGGAAACCATGCAGATTGGCGAGGATGCCATACACCCCAAAGCCCTAAACCGACTAAATCGCAACCCTACCCTATCCCAAGTCTAGAAACCAACAGGCCTGATGGCACGTAGCTACAACAGGCAGGAAACCTCAATATCGCGGACTGTGCTGCAACCTAGCTGGAGGAGGCTCCTGTCCTAGAAGGGGCTGGAGTCCATGTTCCCTCGCTTGGTCCTCGCGACTGCACCTGCCCCAGAGAGAAGTGAGATCCGAGTCTGTCCTAAACCCTAAACCCTAAACCCTAAACCCTAAGCAGCCACCTTTGGCGTTGATGCGCAAGGCAGTCAAACTGTTCAGGTAAGGGCAGCCAGTAGAAGCGCGAAGCGTCGCGTCAGGCGCAGTCGCAGCAGCCATCACCTGAGAGTTTCTTTGCGCACGTCATTCTCCATTGGGGTTGAACCTTTCGAACCTTGCAAAAGAAGTGGCTGCCCTGTGCGATTGACTCGCTGGCCGGTGTTCTGCTGTGAGGTCGTTCTTCAGACATGTCCTCCTTGGACAGACCAGAGGCATCAATGGCATGAATGGCATGAATTCCCGTGGTTTCTCTTTGCCAAGGGTCCTTGGAGTCTAACAAAAGCGGAATCAGTGAAGCATGGTCCCAGGATGTCATTGAGCAGTGTCTGATGGCATGAAGAGGTTTAAGTTGGGTCACAGCTACTTTCCCGGCAATCCCTCGTGCACTTGCGCGCCACAACGGTCGCCGGAGACCCCTTGCAGGCTTAAACCGTGCCTGTGGCCTGGTGCTGCACTCAGTACACCAGCCCCTAGAACTCAGGCAGCGCAACTCTGAGGCGTGGCAGCTATAGAAACTTGTGAAAAATGCGCGGTTCGATTTGAATGCGGGTGCACTGGTCCCATGGAAAAACGGGCCCTTTTTGTAGAGCCCAGGTGGGCTACCCCAATGTTGGGAAGTCCTCCCTCTTCAATGCATTTGCCGGCGCTGGACTTGGGAGCAGTCTTCACTCGTATGTGGCTGGATAGCGACCTCCTTGCAGCCCCAAATCCTAAACCCAAACCAGGGAAAGTTGTGTTCGGCAAGAACCTTGCATTGGCTTCGGGGTGATTCAGGGCGACTATCCAACTGGCCATGTAGGGTTCCATGTACCCGCCCCCCTTTTTCCAGCCCCCGCCACTCCGCCCCTGAATCCCTTGAACCTTAAAGCCTTATAAACCACAAAGCCCTAAAAACCCCTTGATTTAAGGCTTAAGCCTAAAGCCTAAATCCCTAAATCCACAAAGAAACATTAGGGCTCCGAGAAACGAAAAAGAAGCCTTGAAAAGCCGTGAACCCTAAAACCCTGTCAAGCCTAAACCCCCATACCCGAAGCACCTTAGCCCCCCTGAAACTTACGGAAAATTCTAAACCCAAGCCCTTCCCCACCGCCACCAGGAGTGGGTGGGAGGGGGGTTGAGACACTGCACCACGTAGGGCTTATCCTGCTATCATTAAGTCGCAAGGCGCGGCAGTTGCCGCAGCGGAGAACTTCCCGTTCTGCACCATTGAGCCCAACATTGTGAAGGTGCCCAGTTCAAGTGTCCGAGCATGCTTCCGCATGGTAGACCACGGTAGACCCATCGCGGGAGTCTTTCTGCCTAGGAAACTGTTGACAGAATCCGTGCAGGTAGGGGTGCCGGACCCACGTCTGGACCGCCTGGCAGAGCTCTTCTCATCTCAGCGAACGGCTGTGTGCTCAGCCAAAGATGAGAGCCTTGGCTGCTGGGGCAGCACCAAGTCGCCATTCAGGTGCCTGGCCAGGTAGAGATTCGGGACATTGCTGGCTTGATCAAGGCCCTGCTATTGTGCTTCAAGGAGAGTGCTGAATGAAATGTTCAAGCCAGCTCATTGGCTGTAGCTCACTCAGGTTGCTTGTGTCCTTTATGTTTGGTATTCTCAAGCTAATGAATGGAACTTGTGCTAACAGCAGGCCAGCTCGCCACTGTGACGCCATGCTGGGGTTTGGTGCTGGCGAATTTGTGGCAGAGCATGTACTCGTAGATGCGTCTGCCGATACGACGTTCTGGGATCGACTATCGACCCTCCCCTCCCTTGAACCCTAACCACTTCAGAAGCTTCGCAACAGCACAATGGCCGCCTACCCCCGCCAAACCCCAAAACTAAACACTGCAACCCAAGATTCACTTCCACGCAACCGGGGCCACACAGCGCATCCCGCGTCTTGCCTTCGCATCGCCAGGGCGCCAGCACCGGAGCGGGCATGGGCAACGCCTTCCTGAGCCAGATTCGGGGTGTGCAGGTGCAGCGCAAGGATGGCTCAGCTTGCCCCCCATCTTTCTGGGCTCTGAATCCAGGTGGTCTTCCATGTGGTCCGCTGCTTCAGTGATCAGAAGGTCGTGCACGTTGAGGCCGAACGCTGTGAAACATTCCGAAAAGAGGTGGAAGGGGGAAAGAGAGCCACATGCCTCACAAGCACTGTGGACGGACGCTTGGACGTCTGTGCATAAGATGTGGGACGGGGATTTCTGGGAACAGGACCCCATCAACATCGATCCGGTCAAGGAGCTGGCGCCCCAGCAACTGCATCCGAGGAACTGCAGAGTAGTCACCTCTGCACTTGCTGGCTGATGGTGGCTTCAAGTCGGGGTGAAAAGGTTCTGTAGTTTTGTACCTCATAACATAGGTTCTGTTCATGATTGTATAGCACAGGTTGCCTCTAAACCCTGAACCCTAAACCCTCAACCCAAACCCTGAACCCTAGACCCAAATCCTAAACCCTAAGCCCAAATCCCTGAACCCTCAACCCTCAACCCTAAACAGGTACGAGTCCATCCTCGAGGAGCTGGTCATCGCCGACCTCGAGCACTCTCGGCCGCAGCTTCGTTTTGGGGCGTACGAGCTTTCGGGGGCATCTTGGGTTTAGGGTTTAGGGTGTAGGGTTTAGGGTTTAGGGTTTAGTTGATGCTTTTCATTAAACTTTTGAACGCGAAGTTAGGGGTTGGGGGGGGGGACCAGAGGGTGGTTGATGTTGCTTGGGTTCAGCAGTATCAGGATGCTTCAGGAGGTAGGACTTCAAGCGTTGGGGAGCTTAGGGTTTGGGTTGCGACCGCAGCCTGATGTTTGGGTCTGCCTCTGACATAGACCTGCCGATTTCCAAGGTATGCTTCCAAGAGGCTCCCGGCGCTGCGGAAGAAGGCGGGAGCTGGCCCACAGGTCCAAAGCAGGACTTTCTGTGCCTAGAGCTCCCAAGTCAAGTTGGTCAAAGAAGCTGTTCACATCCGAAATCGGAAAACTTCGCCCAAAGCCCCTAAACCAAAGGCCCCCAAGTAACTCTCCAGGCCACGACGGCCGCGGCAACGGGTTCGGATCCAGCCGCGCGCCAGCCGGTTTTTCCTAAGAGATGGCTGCCAATAGTTGCAGTCTTGTTATCATGGTGCAGGGCTGCCACGCGTGTCACTGCTCCTCCACCCCCTTGCGCATGCAATCGTTGGAACCCGGCCTTGACATAAGTTGCCACCATTTACGGGGCGCCTTCTTGCAAAAGATCTCAGCCAACAAGGTCCGCCCGAGAATGGATGTGGGAGTCTACGAACATAAGGGACCCCAAACATAGACCCCCAAAAAAGTAGGATTCCCGTTATCATAAGGACCCCAATGAAGGTAACCCTCTATTATCGCAAACCATCATGTTGACCAAGGCAAAGGTGCTGGGCATCTATGAGGGCATCCTGAAGTGCCTGGAGGCCAGGGTTCAAGAGGCGCAAGAAGCAAAGCATGGCAAAGAGAAGGATGTCAGGCCAGGCAGAGGCATGGGCATCAAAATTCCGAGGATGGCAGGCCAGCGCGGCATGTTGCGGTCTCAGCCCTTTCGACCCTTGACTTCAAAACTCTGCAAGCCCGTTGAGCCGGTGCTCTATTGGTTTCCCTGTGCCACTGTTGATGGCATGCTATCGCTGTTGCCGGGTTATTCCCGTACCACTGTAGTACGATTTACTAGTCACGGTCGACATTCGGGCCATTAACGCCACTGCGCGCAACTGCCCGCACACAGCTGTAACTACTAATTTGGGCTTCATTTCAGAGGGCACATGCCTGCGGGCAGAAGACCACTGATTGGACAAGGCCCTCGCGCAGCAGGACGAAGATTGCCTGCCAGGCCCTCAACATCTTGAAGATGTCTTGCTTTCGAGGGGCTCCAGAGGTCCAACGCCTCTGCATTGATATGAAACCAAAACTTCAGCTGCATTCCATCCACTATAGCCATTTTGATTCTTATTCTTACTATACCAATCATCATAGTTGCAATGATTATTCCAACAATATGGTTGATAATTCTAGTCGTGGCCGGCCGGGCGAGGTCGCCCAGCGACGACTTCCTCGCGCAGTTGATCACTGCCAAGCCGGTGGTCTGGGCCCGAGATTCATGGTCTGGGGGGTTTACGATATTAGGGGACCCTTATTGAGGGGTCCCTTTTTTTTAGAGGACCCCACTATTTGGGGTCTATGTTCGGGGGTCCCCTGTTGTTGCAAACCCCTGTGTGTCATGGCACTTCTCCGTTATCCTCTAGAAGCCTCGATGCCTGATCAGGTGGTCCTCGCCAACGTTGCTGCAGAGGCCACAGTTTTGGACTTGAGTGCAGCTAGCTTCAAGCAAAAGGAGAAGCATTTTTGACCGCAGGATGCAGCGCATGGCAACGAATTTACTGCTCGCTCCCTGCCCTTTTCAGATGATAAGCCACCAGTCGGTTACCGTTGCCAGAGTTTCTGACGTACCGTGATGTCGAGATCTGTGCCATGCTTGTGCGACACGAGCCTGGGGTTATTGTAGCCTCCGTGAAATGTGAAGGCTGTCAGCATCTAAGTTATGCCGGCTTTACGCTACTCAGCCTAGGCGTGCGAGCTTTCAAGGTTTTGGACTTTAGACGCCTTTGCCCTAGCCCACCCCCCCAACCCCCGGGTGTCTGGCTGAGTGCGAGTCTTCAGCTGGTCTTCTCCGAACTTCCAAACCTCTGCCACGTCTTTGTGGTGCCTGACAAGGGCATCCAGCTTGGAAAGCCCGACCATGTAGTCTGGCCGCCGACACCCTCCAGTTCGGAAGGCCCATGTGCGACTCCCCTGACAGACTAAGAGAGGGCCGGTCTGAGTTGGTGGACTGCCGCGTTCGAGCGCAGACCTGAGATGGACCGGCGCGCAGACCAAACCAATCCCAGGTGCGTGAAGGCGGCAGAACATCGAGCCGTGGGAGGTCTACAACTTGGACCCTTTTAAGCTGGTTTTGGGGAAGGTTGGACCCAGCAATATGGGCCATGCAAAGCTGGTCGCCCGCCGCAAGCCCCTTTGGCGCCCAATCCCCCGCGCGAGCGCTGAAGAAGCTCCCGGCCGGAACAACCGCGAGAGCAGCTGTTTGCCCCGCAGGGGGCTTAGACAAAGAAGGTTGCCAGCATTGCCTCATGCACCCGGCATGGTTTCAAACTCGCACTTTGACAGGGGTGCCGAGACCTTGCGCAAGAGTCCGAAGTGCTTGAGGCATTGAAGGCCGACCAAGGAAATCCAGAGCTTTGTCGACGAAGCACGACGAGCACTTAGCACAGCCCCAAAGCAGGAGGAGCATGTTCAGAGCCTGCCCATTTAAGGTGGGGAAACCAACGGCCGCGACCCACATCTGAATGAACATCCGAATCTTCCCTTAGCACTTTGCTTCTGCGATCAGTCGTGTCCACTCCGTGAGTTTCATATTCAGCCTTACATGCCAAACCTGGACCACAAAATTATCCACCAGGCTAGATGGCCCGTAGCAACCAGGGAATTGATTTGCCTGTTGTACGGCACAAACTGTAAGAACTTCTTACTTCGATCATGCCCACCCTTCAGCCAACCGATGGAAGAGCCATCCTGCCGCTTTCGGACAGATAATTATCGGAGACTTCGTCGCAGGCTTCTGTCGCGGGACTCCCCGGGTTGGCGGACATGGCAGGGATACGCGCACAGCAGAAACCTGCCTGGAGACCGGGCGCGACGCCGGGCGAGGAGGCGAGGAGAATGTCAGAGAGTGGTTGGTTTGAACTCTAACACCCCCACACCGCGGGTTGGGGAAAAAGCTTGAGAAACAAAACTGCATGGCTCGCCGGTCTCCCATTGAGCAATTGGTTACTGATGCACTTTGTGACAAGTTTCGGGCCTCCGGTGAGATGGAGTTCGCAATAGACGCTGAGGGAAATTCCAGAAACAGACGCGAACCCACCCGCGGGTTGAAACTCAGGCTTGTCAGAGCACGTGCAAGCTGATGCCCAGGCTCCGCAGCATGTGTCGTGTGAATGTGTGGAGGGCTCCGAGACATGTCTTTCAGGCTTCCTAGGTTTCCTGCAAGGGTGACGGAAGAAAAACAAGCAGTATACATGTAAGAGAGAATGAGAGCAGCCCGAAGCCACCGTCAAAGAAGGGAAGCCAAAGGATTCACCGAGAAACCCTAATTTCTTCCAATGCAGTCATAATAAACAAGTATCAATGTTGAAGCCAGCTTCAAGATGAACATAGACCGTTCAGGAAATTAAACTAGGGTTTCCAAGGATTGTTGTGCATCCGCCCCGTATAAACAGAGCCAAGGAAACTTTAAAGTTAAGGCATGTTGCTTTTGCAACATGACGCAATGCCCAATCAGTCGAAGGCTTTGGGGGCAAGGCAAGCACAATTACCAAAATGGAAGTTACAAGTCGAGGATTGTTTCTACACTTCAAGATGACAATGTTCGATGCTTTGAAACGAACAAGTTGAAAAACAATTCCCTATATTCCACCTACGCATGTCGACAGAATCGATAGAACACAACGTAATACAAAGCACCCGCACATCTGCACGCAAAATCTTCCCACATGATGGAAACTCAAATAATGAAGCTGCTGGGACACATCTTTCAAGCAGATAGTTATGATCCGCCCAAGCGGATGTTCTGGCATCGTGGGGAAGTATACTTCTCGGGGATGTAATTTGGAATCACATCCCCGCCCGACAATAGATGTTCACTGACAAGTGGGTAGACCGAGAGGATTACTTGCTAGAAGCGATGAAAGATGCTCCGCAAGAGTTACGCCAGGATACCAGCACCAAATTCAAAAGATCACCTTTTCCAAGACCTAAGCTGTCAACACCCATGTGAAACACGAAGCAGAAACGTAACAAGTTTCGATGCTTGCCAAATCAAAGACTCGCATCGCCACGTTCAATCAGCCTGCCGGATGACTGAGTACTGTAGCTACACCGTGTTTGTTCATTGATGCCGGGTGTCGCAACTCAAAGTCAACCCCTCGCAACTTCACCCATGGGATTGGCGCCTTGTTGCGAGTGAGTCAGTGAGTGAGAAGATGCTTCGGGGCCAGCAAAGTTAGAATTGGCTTGGTTACCTCATAGCCACAATTTAGCGGCCTGCTTCGCTTCGACTTGAGTCTGATGTTCGACAAATTCAAGAATAAAGCAGCTTAGATGAGCATTGGTTCCAGGTCGCTCCTGAATGAACATTGAACTTTACTTGTGCTCCATGTGGTTCTGCTCTAAACATATTATGTTTAACTTGCTTAAGTGCCTTCAGCAGTCATTGGAAAGTTGTAAACTACATGGTATTAGCTACATTTGGCGAGAATGAAGTCAACTGAACTACCGTCGAATTCACAAACTTAGGTTCTGGTCGTACTCGCAGTCTTTGTTCAACCGTTCAACCCCACCAAGAATGAAAAAGAACGCAGAAAGCCTGACCGAATCACTCAAGGCAAGCGAGCAGTTGTGGTCGTGTTGGGCAAGCTTGGTCTTTCTCGGAACTTAAATTAGAAATAACGGCAAAAAAAACACAAGTTCCTTAGCAGCAACGCATCGTTGACGCTTTGCACGCCAGACCCTTGGCGCGCTGGCAAGCCGATTCATCATCGTGGCCCTGCCTGCATTGGGGAGCGAGCTCTTGAGCGGAATTTTCTGTACAGGCCATGATATTTAATGGCAATAGTGCCCGCATGGACACCTTTTAAAGATGGCGCTGAAAACACATGTGGGGCCCAAGGCGATACCGCAAATGAAGGCCCTTGGCCACAGCTGATGATCTGGGCTCTGGGCCCCCCCCGAAGCTGCATGCATTTGCACTTACTAGTATGGGATTTAAGAAAGTAGGGGTACCTTATTGGGGTCCTTATAACATTATAAGGGAATCCTACCATTTGGGGGTCTTTATTCGGGGTCCCCTATAGGCCCGGAAAGGATCAACCTCGAATGCCTGCCAGGTGTCCGCTCAATTGGAGGCGGAGGTAGCGGCACTGGATGATGAGGAGCGTACCTTGTTTGGGTCCTTTGTATAAGGGAATGCTACGATTTGGGTTTAGGGTTTAGGGGTCCCCTATATTCGGAAACCTCCAGGTGGCTGCTAAGCCCAACCTGTGCAAGATCCGGCATTCCGGAATGTTCCAGATCTCATCCCCATCCTCCAACTGCGCAAGTGATTAAGAGCCCTGAAGCCTAAACCCAAGTGCAGGAGTTTCAGGCAGAGTACCTGCAGTCCTTCGGCCTTGATGTCAACTCGCCTAGGGCGCTGACCAGCGTCCTGGCTGGGCACCAAGTTTCGAGCGAGTTTCTCGGTAGGTCTATTGCAAACCTGGGCCCTTCAGTGAAAAGTAGGTCGGAGATGGTGCGCTCTGGGTAGTTTTGTTCGGGCTTCGGCGCATCAACTGGAGCCGTAAAGACCTATAAACACAACTAGCGAGACCCCTCACGCCGACAAGCCAACAACCTGTGAAGGCGCAAACAAGCGCCGAGGCCTTTACCTGCTAACTCGGACCTATCAGCAGAAGGAATGCTTGGCTTCAGGGCCTGTGTTTTATGGGTTTAGGGTTCGAGGGTCCGAAAGGAGATCTAGCTGCAACGCGTCGCGAAGCTTGGCAGTGCATTGGCTATAGTTCACACAGGATCACACCCTCGTAAAGCGCAAAGGTCACTGGCTGCATCCTGTCATCACGCATCCGGTCATTGTACTTCCTTCCGTTTCCTGAAGGCCGAGAGTCAGAGCCTTCTTAAGCTGATCTCCTACCTCACCGTCGGAGAGATGGAGGCCCCAGGAACACACGTTCTTGCAGACTCACGTGGGTCATGATTCAATCTTCGTCTTTGGGTGCATAATCCCGCAGTCTCTACCTCTCTCCCCGCCCACCTCCCCAAAAAGGCATCTCTTGCCTGAAAAGTCCATGCAAGCGGCTGGTCCCAGGTAGAAGCTTTCAATAGTCTCTGATCAGAGACTTACAGCACCAACCGTGTGCATCATATCCGATATGCATGACGAGATATTTAGCCGTTAAGCCGTCTAACCGTTTAACTCTGAAGCCCCGTAACCCTCCCAAATCCTGAAGCCCTCAATCCCTGATGGAATATATGCCCGAAACACCCTTGGGGTGGATTAAGCATATTAAGCCACCCACTCACCTCACCCGAAACCCCAAAGCCCACTTGCCCCAATTGCTGGCAAGGCCAGGGCCTGGTTCGTGCCGCAGGGTTCACGTGCGCATGAGGCCGGGGGATGCAGAGGCTAAGCGGCGGGGGGCTCCAGGAGTCGTAAAGCCTCCCTGAAGAGCCTACAAGAACCCGGAGCCTCTTGTTGGAGGTCTAAGCATGCAAACGGGGGGTTCATAGCAACAACCTACAAAAAGAAGGCTCTCAAGGTAGGGTTTAGGGGTTCTCGGGTTTACGGGTTTGGGGGCTTCTGGGGTTAGGGACTGTGGAAGCGAGGACTGCAAGACCAGGTAAGCCGTTCAAAGCCTTGTGAGCTCTTCCTGCCACTTCGCCACGAGGCAGCCGGGGCCATCCATTCCGACTTCACCAAGAATTTCGAGCAAGCAGAGATCTGGCATCGCCAAACACGCTTGGCACTTGCAGAGATGCATAGTGAGACAATGTGAGACAGTCGAATGGCCACAGCTGTTTTGAAGGTAGTTCTCAATGCCTCGTCAAGGCCTCTTGCTTGGCCAGGTCCTACGACGACCTGATCAAGCACGGCAGCAAAGAAAAGTATGTCCCCAAGCTGTTCATGTCTGGTATGCTGGAGTTCATGTCTGGTATGCTGGAAGAAATGACAAGCCAATCAGCCCCTCCTCAACACACAGCATTAACAGACACGCTGCTTGCCGCATACCTTCTAGTGGTCCGCAGGACTGTAGTCAACTTCGCCTTCACGCACTGAGATGTCGCAAAGCGGGAGCTGCACGTCTCCAGGGCAAAGACTACAAGGCCCCAAACCAGCAAGCGGCCCCGCACGCAGTTCTCATTTGCTCATGTATTCAGATAGCTGCCATCGCCTGAACCTCAATCTTCTCACGTAGCTCACAAGCACAAAATCCGCGCTCGCATGGGATCTCGCCTAAGCCATAAGCCCTGCAGCAGGTCCAAGATGGTGATGTGATCGAGTTCCGGATCAAGAAAGCGCGATCTTGATCCCAGCTGTAGGTGGTGCTCTTCATACTTGGAAGGGAACAGGTCGAAGGCAGTTTCCGACGCGCACCGGTACAAAGTGATGACCAGCGCCTAGACTGCCTCGCAAAGTTCCACGCCCTTGTCTCATGTCACTTCGACATACATCCATCGAACGCGGATCGAGATCTATGAAAGATTAGAGAGGCAGAGACAAGGCTCCAATTTTCCGCCCATGGCGAGCTATTCCTGCAGCATGGTCACGAAAACTGATGCAGCTGTGGCGCCACCGGAAAGTTTACAACATCCATGAGACCGTCATGGCATTCCCTTGACTCACCTGGCACGCACGGCATACTGCAGCATGAGCTGTAGAACTGTAGGGGCAAGCTGAGGTGGAGCTGCGTAGCGCCAGTTGGGGGACAGAGGCCTGAAGCTGCTGTGACTGAAGCTCTGAAACTCTCCCGAATCCTTCAGAGAGCTTGAAGGGGAAAGTTGCCCAAGTGCCCCCGTCGCAGGCAGTTCCTTCTGCTGCAGAGGACATTGAGGCTCACTCTATGCTGCAAGCTGCCTTCTTATCGGGCCCACCGGGCTTTCACACTGCAGGCGGGCACCGCCAAGACGAGTGCAGCCTCAAAGGCCAGGTCCTTAAGAAGCTCCTGAATGGGAAGACGCTCCCCTCCACTCTCCTCCGAATCACTCTGAGTCGCCCATGTCGCCCTCATTTGAATCTCCACATCTCAGCACGTTTTTTGGGTACCCTAAACCCTGAACCCTAAACCCTAAACCCTAAGCCCTAAGCCCCATAAACCCTAAACCTTAAACCCTAAACCCTAAGCCCCATAAACCCTAAACCCTAAAAAGGCCCCAGCTGCTCGGCTGATGCGTTCGCTGCCCTTGGCAGCCCCAGGTTGGCCGGGGCGCCCCAGTTCGGGTTTGGGATTTTTCGGGTTTGGGGTTTAGGGTTTAGGGTTTAGGGTTTAGGGTTTAGGGTTCAGGCGAAAACCCTGAACACCAAACCCTGATTCATTTAGAATCTGGATTCCAGATGCGGCTTTGCATGTCTGTGCACCTTAACTGCAATGCAGGAATAGCTGTAGAAGCAGGTGTAAAGTCTATTTTTCAGCTTCTCAGCTTCAGGGACCAGGCAGAGTGTCGGTGCCAGGTCGAGATCGTACGTTGCCCGAACTGACACTGCTGCTATTTCTTGCGCTGTAAGTTCGTAAGGGCTGTCAAGATGGAGGTTGGGCGCGCGTGCCATTGTCAAGACAGATCCAAATTGGAGACCCAAACTGCCCACACGAGGACGGCACAGTTGAAGCAGGGCTCGATCGCATCTACTAGTGGTACCTGGTGGCCAGACTTCTTGTATAATTGACCGACAAGCCGGGCATGCCATCCCAATGTTCCCAACGGGCAAGGGGGCACCTCGTATCGTTTTGCACTGAGGCTCCGTAGTGCAGATGAGCCTTTGAAGCTGGTGCTGCGGACGCTGAATACGGTCAAGGGCTGATTGTTGCCAGTTTCTCGTGAGCTGTGCGAGATCTTGAGTGAGTGAGTGGAAAAAAATGTGGTCGGGGTGTTCAGGCGCAGGCCACATGATGGGACTGCCAATAGCAGCTACAGTACCCTCGGATACCTTCGGGCTTGTGATGCGGTTGTATGTTGTAGTTCTTGAGCCACAATATCATGCCGATCGCCTGATGCTCGTAACCCTGAGCAGTTCCAAGGTGCCTGCAGCACGCCTAACCTTTTTCGCGTACGTCATCTTGCTCCACGCCTGGGCTCGAACTGGCCTGGTTGAAGCGCTAGCTCCATGGACCAACTCTTACTAAGAAGAAGAAGAAGAAGAAGAAACCCCAAACCCTGACCCTAAACCCTAGACCCTGAACCCAGAAGTGTAGGAGGAGCGCGCCAGGTGCTTTTCATCCTCCAGCAGATGGCGCTGCATCCCTCTGCCTCCCTGGAGCATCCTGAGCGCCCGGAGCGTCCTGAGCGGTGACAGTTTTTTCACTCCTAAACCCACGAAGGGTTTAGGGTTTAGGGTTCAGGGTTCAGGGTTTAGGGTTTAGGGTTTAGGGTTTAGGGTTTAGGGTTTAGGTGTTCCTCGATCCTCAAAGCTTCCCATGCCGGCGCCCCTGGCTTGGCAAACATGGTTATACGTGGTCTACACTATGCGGACATGGATTCAGTTGTCAAATGCATTTTTCTATTCTAAGTTTAGATCGAAGATAGGTTCGATGAAGCACAGTCGCACGAATTTCTCTACAGTCGAGGAGATTTTATTTAGAGGCTCGTTACATCTATTCGAGGAAGATCCTATGGCAGTGTTGCGTGAGCCCGTACGCGAGCCTCTACACTTGAAAGAAGGTAGGTCATTCCGGTATTCCGTGTTGACGCTTTCTTACGTTCCAAACAGACCCCTTCTCCGTCCTTCGAAAGGGAGCTGAGATGGGCGCTCTGGTTGCAGGGTTCCCGGTGGAGGGTTCAGAGTTCAGGGTGTTGCGTCATTCGGTTTGTTGAAAGACAAAGGGGCTCAGAATATCAAGTCTAGGATTCGTTAGTGCAAATCAATACGGATTCGTGGTGGATGCAATCCATCTGCAATTTTTGTTTCCTAGTTAGTCAGGTAGTTAGCTAGGCCATTAGTCGTCTCGATCATTTCAAAAATCATTTTCATGTGATATTTTCTTTCTAATATTAATATTTATTATGAATTCGAATACGATCGATATTCATGGCTTCTTATCATTTCTCCTATTCTTTCAAATCGAAAAGAAGATTTTTTTCATTGGATATTGTATATTCATTAAGAATAAAATTGCAGAAGGGAATGAAGAAAATAACAGATATTAAGACTCAGGGTTAAAATAGAAGGTCTTCATTGAAGAGATTTGTGCTCCCAAAAGCACTAATTTACGAAATTTTCATTGAGAGAGATGTATGCTCCTAATAGAATTCAATATATAGTTGAGGAAATTATCGTTGGGAAAAAAGATGATAGAAGTTCTCGTCATAATTAAGGAAATATTTCGGAAATGAAAATACGAATTTTAATAATTCTTGATTCTAGTGCAATATATCCCCATAAAAGGCTAAGGGCTCGACCCCTATTTTCGCTCTGCGGCCGCCCTGTCGGATGCCCCGCCTCCTCTTCCGGTCCATTTGGTTGCTTGTGAGGGCCTTGCAGGGGGATCCTGAAAATTCCGGGAATTTTAACGCTTTTTGTCTAAAAATCCCGGGAATTTTGGGAATTCCCCGGAGCTGAAAATTCCCGGAATTTTAGGAATTGTCCGGATTGAGGTTTGGGCTTTCCTTGGGCTGTCACGGCTTGTCCGCTTGGTCCGCTTGGGTGGTTTTGGGCTGTCACGGTGTTGTCCGCTTGGTCGGTTTTGGGCTGTCACGGCGTTGTCCGCTTGGTCCGCTTGGACGGTGCTGTCCGCTTGGTCGGTTTTTGGCTGTCACGGTGTTGTCCGCTTGGGCGGTTTTGGGCTGTCACGGTGCTGTCCGCTTGGTCGGTTTTGGGCTGTCACGGTGTTGTCCGCTTGGGCGGTTTTGGGCTGTCACGGTGCTGTCCGCTTGGTCGGTTCTCGGCTGTCACATGGTGTTGTCCGCTTGGGCGGTTTTGGGCTGTCACGGTGTTGTCCGCTTGGTCGGTTTTGGGCTGTCACGGTGTTGTCCGCTTTGGCGGTTTTGGGCTGTCGCGGTGTTGTCCGCTTGGGCGGTTTTGGGCTGTCACAGTGTTGTCCGCTTGGGCGGTTTTGGGCTGTCACAGTGCTGTCCGCTTGGTCGGTTTTGGGCTGTCACGGTGTTGTCCGCTTGGTCCGCTTGGGTGGTTTTGGGCTGTCACGTTGCTGTCCGCTTGGTCGGTTTTCGGCTGCCGCTTGGTTGGTGTTGGGCTGTCATAGTGTTGTCCGCTTGGTCCGCTTGGGTGGTTTTGGGTTGTCACAGTGTTGTCCGCTTCGTCGATTTTGGGGTGTCATAGTGTTGTCCGTTTGGGTGGTTTTGGGTTGTCACGAAATTATCTGCTTGGTCGGTTTTGGGCTGTCATGGTGTTGTCCGCTTGGGCGGTTTTGGGCTCTCATGGTGTTGTCTGCTTGGTCGGTTTTGGGTTGTCACGGTGTTGTCCGCTTGGTCCGCTTGGGCGATTTTGGGTTGTCATGGTGTTGTCCGCTTGGTCGGTTTTGGGCTGTCATAGTGTTGTCCGCTTGGTCCGCTTGGGTGGTTTTGGGTTGTCACGGTATTGTCCGCTTGGTCGGTTTTGGGTTGTTATAGTGTTGTCCGCTTGGTCCGCTTGGGTGGATTTGGGTTGTCATGGCGTTGTTTGTTTGGTCAGTTTTGGGGGTTGTCATAGTGTTGTCCGCTTGGTCGTTTTGGGTTGTCATGGTGTTGTCTGTTTGGTCGGTTTTGGGTTGTCATAGTGTTGTCCGCTTGGTCTGCCTGGGTTGTCACGGTGTTGTCGGCTTGGGCGATTTTGGGTTGTCATGGTGTTGTCCGCTTAGTCTGTATGGGTGATTTTGGGTTGTCATGGTGTTGTCTGTTTGGTCGGTTTTGGGCCGTCATGGTGTTGTCTGTTTGTTTTGGGTTGTCATGGTGTTGTTTGTTTGGTCGGATGTTCGTTGTCACGGTGTTGTTTGCTTGGGCGGTTTTGGGTTGTCACGGTGTTGTTTGCTTGGTCGGTTTTGGGTTATTATGGTGTTGGTCCGCTTTGGTGGTTTTGGGTTGTCATGGTATTGTCTATTTGATTAATTTTAGATTCGTTTACTTTTACTTCTCGATTAAAATATGGTATTATTGTAGTACTAGTCCGCCCTTTCACGCTTTTCAGGGAGGAGTTTCAGGGGAAGGGGGGGGAAGGCAGAGAGGTCAGGGGCGAGGACAGGTAGAAGAACAGTCCAGAGAGTTCAGGCAGGAGGATAGGGTAACAGTCAGTCAGGGTTCAGGGGGAAGCATGGGGGGGGCTTTTCAGGAGGTAGGAGGTTCCGTCTTCGAGGAAAAAAGAAAGTTTCTCTAACATTTAAATATCCCCTCTTCAGATAAGATGTCCCTCGGGGGTGGGGGGGGGGCGTTTGTACGGCTGCCATGAACTTCTTGATTTCTAGAATAATTTACGAGTCCTCCCTTAATCGTTGACAAAATCCGTCAAGTCTTCCACCTTATCGTGGGAGTCATTCTTATTATATTTTGGGTAGGTAGGGTTTAGGGGGCAGGGGGGGTGTGAGGAGGGGGGGGGGGGGGGGGGGGGGGAAGGAATTGGAGGTTTTAATTCTTCTCTATTTACTCTGATCTTTGGGGGGGGGGGGGGGGGTTCCGTATTTCCGTCCGCGTTTTTTTTTCTCGTGTCCGTGTTGTCAGGTTTTTTATTCTTTATCTTTTTTTTAATTATTTTTTTTCCTCTTTGTTTGGTTCTTTTTTTTTTATTAGCTTCTTTTAGAGATTGGCAGACGTATATGCCGTCGATGGAATCGACGGGTCCCCTCTAGTATATATATATTTATTATTGAATACGAAATTGTCCGAGTTATGTGATCGTAATCTTCATTTTTGGGATGATCGTATTAATGCATGAGAGTTCTGAAATTTATATATAGATAAGTCGTTTGCATTGGATGGTGTCTTAGATATGGGATTTTGGAGTGTAGATATTATTTCGTATTATTTGAAGATATTTGGATCTTCATTGCTTGGGGCATGATACAGAGGTTTCGGGCAATATAGATACTTATTATTTCTATTTGGATATTATAATCATTCAGATAATGAAAGGTTCCTATGATTATCGTATATTAGAATTCATTTCGTATAATTATTTTAAATGGGGATGGATATCTAGCATAAGGATGCGATATTCTATAAATTTCATTCTGAAGAATGAAAGTTGTCATTATAATTGAGCAATGATAAAGGATTGATTGAGGATTTGTATCTTCCCATGAGAACCAAATTAGATCATTGGCCATACGATAATAAGCAAATACCATTTCTGAAGAATGAGAGTATAATATTTTTGAATACGAAAAAATATCTGATGAAATGATATATTCATCAAATTTCGATCTCAGAAAATGAAATCTAGATCTTATAATGAATAATAGATATTCTCCAAAAATATCAAATAAGAATCTAGAAATTGGAAATTTAGGAATCAATCCAAAATGAAACGAAATATGAAAGAATTATCATATTCTCCAAGATATCCCATTATATTGAAAGAGCCGCCCCCAGCCCAATTTTCTAGGACATCTCAGAAAAACGAAAAGCGAATAAATAGAATAAAGATTCCCAAATCACGCTCATCTCGATATAAATGCAGATAAAAATAATTACTATGATATTAATCTCAATTTAAAGTATTTCGAATATTCCCATATTTTCTGGATAGAGGTATTCTGAAAATGATCATTCTCGGAAGGGAGATGAATTTTGATCGATGGATGGTAATATCGTCGTCAGGGCGAGATGTATCAAGAATATAAATTCAGATTGAAATTTGATCATATCATGTATTCTATGGAGCGATTATTATATATCATATAAGCCGTTCGATCTCTATAGAAGGGTCGAATGCCATGGAAATTTTCTTGAATCTCTATATTTGATCATATAGGATCCCTATATAAGAGATTCCGTTTCGCCCCATATATCATCCGTTACCGCCCGGCGAACGGAGATTGATGATGAATTCTAGAATCCCACATTTTATCTTTATTTCCGATTCTTTTAAAAGGGAATAAATATATGGCATCGTTGATTTCATTAGATTTATTCGTGGTTCTCAGGTGGGAAAATTGAAAGATAGAATCTCTTTCTTGGAAGAATAAAAATCTCTCTGTCGTATTCTATCGGATAATATCCTAATTTAGTTAATAATTCATGATATACATATTCAAGATTCCAATCTATATTATCGAGATAATAATATTTTCGGAAATTATTTTTGAAAATATAATTTGCTTAATATTTATTGATGGCATTTGATAATAAGATTCATTTCTATATCTT